ACCCAGAAGTTCCGCACCTTCTTAGCATGCTCAGCTTTAAGACAACCTGACAGAAGCTACTCTGAAGCCTTCGAGATGCCGCCGAGCCTGTTTTTAGACTGGTAAAACTTTATCACAAAATCTACCCGGCCTCTTTGCCAGCACCAGCTACTTCGAGATGACCTGAACTACCACTGCAATCCAGCAAGCTGTTTCACACAGACGCTGCGAGCGGGAACCTGCCCTCTGCAGCCACTCGATCGCTGTTGTCAGGTGTCGTAGTGTGAAATACAACGGAGGCGCCCTCCTGCAGATCTCAGCCCTCTTCCTCCCCCATGAAGTTCTAAAGGATATTAATTACATTAGACAGAATTTTAAAACTTCACGTAACAGCCGTTAGGTTTGCACGTGTAAAATGATTGCTCATCTTCTGTACCCTCCTCCTTTCAAAAAATTCTGGTTTACCCCATTTGTTTAAATGCTTGGTCTTTTCTCCCCGCTGCCGCAGCCATTTGCCAGCATGCATCGCATACATAGTCCTTTCCGACATTTTTCCTGATGCTGTCTGGCTCAGGCAATGCATGTTTCCAAAGCTCTCTGAAATCTATCTATGGATTTTTTAAAAAATATAATAGTAAACAAGGTAAATCATTACTAAGTACTTCACTTTTATCCAACTTGTTAGCCAGCTCCAAAATCACAGAGATTAGTTAGCGATCATATCATTCGCTCTCGTTTGTATTATTTTTAGGCTCACTATAAAAATAATAATATTTTCATGGCTTTTGATAAAAGACTAAAGACTTCATTTACAACTTAGACAAGGGATTGGATATTGTGAACCACTTCATTAAGCAGGCTTTAAAAAGATTGCTATTCACTCTGACTCCCTGAGTGGGTTCCAGATTCATCCATAGATATACAAATGGTGTATCAGATTTAGTTACTTTTTTCCCTTCTTCAGCTAAGGTTTGCTTTTGGCCTCCCTTACAGCAGAAAGAAAATAAATTCACTGACAATAGCTATAGCAGCTAGAAATTCTTCATATCATTCTCAAACTTTTAGAACCCCTCGGTATTCTGCAGGGTTCTGGTAGCTGATTATGAGTTGCAATGAAATCCAGGCACTTCCCAACTCACATTTGTTAGGACGTGTGCATTACCGTAATCTTTTGAATTATTTTAAAGGGAATAGCAGCGCTGGCATTGGCTTTCGGAAGACAGCCGGGAGAATATTTACTATTTGTGTGGCACTAAGCCTGACGAGGCAGAATGGCTACAGTCCCACTTTTAAAATGTGTAACAGTACTTTACAGCTGAAATGTTACAGGGAAGTTTTCTGGAGCTGGAAGACGAAAAGCATGGGCTGTTCACAACTTGTACAACTACTCCGGAGAAAGGAGGCACAAACTTCACCCCCTGTTTTTTCAGCAGTAAAAGATACACGTTTGGGAGCCAACTGCTATCACGGTGATGCTTTCTTCACCAGCAAACCTTTGCGTTTTCCTCTCCGGAATCGTGTGACAATGAATCACTGATGATCTTCAGCGGCAGGACCAAAAATAGGGCTGGGCACAGAGAAAGGCTGGGGTAGGGGGGAACGACAGCGAGCACGTGGCTCCACCTCCGAGCACTTCAGATCCCCCTGGGACCAACCGCCTTTCCCTGCTCCACTGGCTATTTCTGTGATGCTGTACTCACTCACGGGTTAAAAGAGGTGCTGAGAAACCACACCTAGAGCCGCGCTAGCACGCGGTGAAGTTGGCACGCTGAATAATTACGGTTTTCTTCGTCACGGTGAATCACTTGTATGTGAAATTATGGCAATTTCTCTATGCTTAGATGTAGTCGATAAATCAAAGCTGCTTATTAGATAATAACTGTGCTCCAGGTGGCTCCCAAACAAATGCTGCCTTTGAAGTTATGGCAAAGCGTGTCCCAAGCTCAAAGCCTTCACATCTGGGCAGAGAAAATTCAGCTGCTTTCGCTACTGTCTGTAAGGGCAGCACACCGCCAGCCACCGCAGCTTTTGCTGTGAAGGACAGAAAAAGGGGCTCTGCCCTGTGACAGGCCATGGCTCCTCTCTCCAAATGTTATCATTTCTACGTTACATTTTTCCTTTAAATCATTCACTTCCTGTTTTGACAAAGAATGGTCTATTTTAGATCCTCAGCTTCCATCCTAGAGTAATCAGCACCTCTCTAAGACCCTCTAACCCACATAAAGTCCATCCACTAGCTCTGCCTACACCAAATTCCAGTTTCTTATACTTAGTTTCAAGGCTCTTGACAACTCCGTTTTTCTAGTCTTGGCTATTACTGCATCCCAACAGGGATGTTGTGAAAATACACTTGTTATTATTTTTGAAGCACCCAGAAAACATGGTAATGACTGTCACAGAGAAGCTCATGAGGAAATTAATAATTTTGCTTCTATTGTAGGGCTTGAATCCTGCACAGTAAATAAGGCTTGGGGGTCACACTTCAAATGAAGTCACCCACCAGCTCATCATTAATTCACCCCCTGCACTGGATGAGGCAGAGGTCTTAAGAGGAAAAAAAAAAAAAAATGGTAAGAAAGAATTGAAATCTGCAACTCAATTCTTATGCAAAATGAGGTGGCATTAAAACTATATGGGCAGTTGAACTCTGGTATTTCCCAACCACGGAGTGCTTAATGTTACAGCCTGAAGTTTCTTTGAACAACTTCTACTGTCTGCAATGGTACGTCATTTCCCAAAAAAAGTATCAAAATAGAGGTGATGGCTGGGCTTCCAGTTAAAGCCACGGCCGTATTAGGGTAGGATTCAGCCTGGGATTAAGAGGTGTTATTTTTGATGTCCGACTGTAGGGTACACTCTTGAGCTAACTGTTTGGCACTGTCACCCACGGAGACCTGGGCCACGCAGTCAGTGCAGTTCAGCTCACCCGAGAGCAGACACTTCTGCTCCACTGAGGAGCCCCAAGGCTGCACGGATCACTTGGAGCAGATCTGCACGGCTTACGACAATGCAGATGCCTAGAGATGCCCTAGTATATACTTAAATGCACTTCACCACATCCAGAGCCAAATACGGAAACAACAGACTGTCTTTCTCTTATCACTCTTGTTGCATCACTTTTTTTCTGGGATTGTAAGCCTCATAGTAGGCAGTCCAAGCTTCCGAGGAACACTGCATGCAAGGACTCGTGCCGGTCAGATTAGTTGGGTCCTACCGTGACACAAATATTATTAGTTGCAATACCACGACCACCACTCCCTTTCATTTTCCCTTTAAAGTGGTTATCCAGGGTGGTTAGCCATCGCTTCAGGTGCCGTAAGACAGCCTGCCGGGCCTGCGGCTGCCGCTGTGGGGCTCAGCTCTCCCCGGGTCCTGCCGGCCAGCTCTGCACAGATCCCCCAGGGCAGCTCAGGTGACGGGGCACCTACCTCGGCCAGCTGCACCCCAACCTCACAAGAGCCATCAGAGTGAGGACAGAGCTGGCTCAGGGACATCTTACCAGCTGCTGCTAACAATTTCACTGGAAAAACGAGGAAGATTCCCACCCAGGATCTGGCTAAACAGCCGTTTGGGGACCTTAATTGTGCAGCTCCCCTTAAGGGCGCTGTTCTGGGGCACTCCCAGACCACCTGCCTCCATCTCCTCGCACGGGTGCTCCCACCTTTTGGGCAGCGCTCTCTGAAGTAAGGATCAGCCTTACCACCAGCTACGATTCACCAAACGCCTGCCAGCACAGCTGCAGTTAGCAGCTGCATGTGTCCACACGGCCCGGAACAACCACGTCCAAAATATTTCTCACATGCCATATATTAAAATTTTGGGGACTAGGGGGACAAACAGAGTTCGCGAGTGTTTCACCAAGGCAGAAGTGCCTTGGAATGGAGAGAGACCTGACCTTGACGGGGCTCTCACTTTCGGCTGCCAGCTCTTCTGAGCTTGCAATGTTTAATGATTCAAGTCCTGTCTTTCAACCTAGGTACAAGTTTCTGACCTCGGTGTTTAATATTGACATTTCTAGCCTTCACTGAGGAAGAAGTCTAGAAACACCAACCTCACCAGCCGTAAAACTGTAAGGCAATGAAAGGAGCTAAAAGTCTATTCAGAATGCTACTTCGGGGCTGGGCCTGACTCACCCGGGGCTTTTTTTAACGTTTAGGTAGGCTGCACTGGTTTTGGCTGGGGTACAGTTATTTCCTTCCTAGTAGCCGGTACAGTGTTGTGTTTTGGATTTAGGATAATGTTGGTAACACACTGATGTTTTAGTTGTGGCTGAGCAGGGATTACACTTAAGGATTTCTCAGCTCCTCACACCGCCCCGCCAGCGAGTGGGCTGGGGGTGCACAAGAGGTGGGGAGGGGACACAGCCAGGACAGGTGACCCCAACTGGCCAAAGGGATATTCCACAGCATACGACACTGTGCTCAGCACATAAAGCTGGGGTAAGAAGAAGGAAGGGGGGATGTTCAGAGAGATGGCGTTTGTCTTCCCAAGTCACCATTACGCATGACAGAGCCCAGCTGTCCTGGAGATGGCCGAGTCCCTGCCTACCCATGGGAAGCCGTGAATGAATTCCTTGTTTTGCTTTGCTTTGAGTGTGTATGGCTTTTGATTTACCTATTAAACTGTCTTTATCTCAACCCACGAGTTTTCTCACTTTTACTCTTTCAGTTCTCTCCCCCATCCCACCGGAGGGGAATGAGTGAGCGGCTGTGTGGGGCTGAGCTGCCAGCTGGGGTTAGACTTCGACGTCGGTGAACGCTGATATCATCACTTACCAAGTGGAATTTGATGTCAAGTCCCTGAAGGCACCTGTGTATAATCTTGCAATTTTATCACCTGTATTTCTTCCAGCAAGGCCACGTCTCCTGTCACGCAGTCCCTAGGCTGCAATGGGGGCAGCGTGCCGAGTCTGGCTACAGACATATACTTGCTAAAAAATCTCCAAAATATTATCATACAACAAAACTAGACGGCACAGTGCTTTGGGCAGCGACCTTAAAGCTTATGTACTCCTGCCAGAGTTCCCTTCTCAGGATTATTTATTTTCACACTGGTAGCAGTAACCACAACACAGAGAGGGAAGGGAGCAGGGACCTCTCCTGATGGCCCAGTTTAAGGGCAGTCCTTCCTCGTGCTGGCCTCCGAAGTCCTGCGGTGCCAAGGGGAGAGGCGAGCAGTGAGGGCGACCCCATCCAAATAATGCTGGTGGCTAAAGGATTTTCCTGGGAAGGTGAGGGTCATAGAAGTTTCATGCACTCCCCACTGTCACACTGAGGAGAACACCGTGAGTCCACAGCTCTGCAGAAAGCACCAACACATTCAGAATAAGGACATGAACCAGAAAGGTATTTTAGATCCATTAGTTATAATTTACACACCAATGACATACTGCATAAAGACAAAATATACAGATTTTCATATATATATATACATGGATCAACACAGTGCACAATTTAAAGTTATGTTACAATTAAGTGTACAATTTTAAATATGGCTTTATAAACTAGTAGTAATAACAGTGCTAAAATAATGTTATGTCTCATGGGAGTTCATAGACAAACAACATAATGCAGCTACAGCATGAGAGTCCTCATTTTGCAATGTGTTGCTTCATTTTGTTGGTTAAACTTCATACACTGCAGCTAGCTGGATATATCCCTCCCCCCATACCCATCTACATATACTTTATTCTTGCTGGATTGCACACCCCAGTGATTAAAACTTTGGGACTTGCATTCTTCAAGTATCCTGAAAAATAAAAACCTGTACATTCAAGGAAAGATTAGTCATAAGAACAAACAAAGAAGTGAGGGAAGAACACAAGCAAACATGGTGCCCAGTGAGAATATCAAAAAAGTACTGGCTTATTTTGTTTAGAGTGATTAAAAAACAAAACAAAACAAAACAAAACAGGGGTCACACTTTGTTTGCCTTACTGCTCAAAGGCAGCAAATTTTTCAGTGAGTATAATAAGACAGAGGAATAAGAGAAGTGGTAAATTCTGGGTCACTTGGAAGCTCGGTCGGAAACGCTGGCCCCACTGAAGCAAATGGCATTTTTGTCAGTGACTTCAAAGGGGGTAGGATTTTATTTGTTCTGCAAAAGTTGAATGCCTTTTGGAATCATATGCTCCATTTCAGCCCTAGTTTGTTGAGCTGAATGTGGAAATCATTAGATGAAAACCTACAATCCTTTTTATGCGCGAGTCAGACTAAAGGCCCGTAACAATCTCCCCTGGCCTTCAAAATCTGGAAGTGGGGCAACCAGAACACGGAACTAACAGTTTAGCACTGTAGGGACACACTGGATGTTTTCATCAACTGAGATTCCTGGGCTGTACACAGACATCCCGTTTCTTCTCCAGCTCCTCAGGGAGCTGCAGAAACCTTGGCTGAGAAGTACTTCACGCTAGGGTGACTTCCACAGGGAAGGAAGCCAAGAGAAATCCTCCTTGATGATCAAAGAGAGGATTGCCCAAAACCACCGAGACCGAGCTGATTCATGTTGCAACACTTTCCTTCACTAAGGTTAAAGCTGTAGAGGCTCGGGGTCACTGGCCTGAAAATCAAATCCCCCCTCCCACCAGCAGCCCATGAGGTACAGGGGAATACCTTTCCCTCGGCAGGGTACCAGCGGGACACGACGGCCCACGGTCACTGCTGAGCTCCAAGCTGTGCTGGCTTGCAGTGCTCTGTAAAGGGGTCAAACCCAAACGGATCTTTGTCCTTGCCCTTCGTCACCGGGACCCAGACGACTGCAGCGCCGGAGTCCCTGCACTGCCTACCTGGCACTGGCGAATACCCAGAGCATAGCACAGCTCACACCAATTACCTGTAACACTAATCAACTGCTGAAAACCACTGCAGTCATTCAAAGGTACCTCTAGTCCTCTCAGCCCACAGGATTAAAACCGTACTCCTCCAGATCACTGCCACTGACACGCATGGGCATGACTCACCCCTACACTATGTATATCCACTTCCAGATGCCAGCTACTGGGCCATCCAACATAATCCTGCATTTAGAGAGCATTATTTGCTTTATTTAATCACATGCCTAATTCGTAATTTTGCAGTTTTTAGGGATGGGGAGGGTTAGGCTAGATAGATACTTGCCAGAACACAGATTCAAATTCTTATTCAAACATCTAAGGACAAGACCCACTTGAATTCATCCCCTGCCACAGAAATTTCACTTGGTGAGCTGCCCTGCATAAATCTACACATAACACACTTTTCCAGCAGGCAGTATTTTGTAAGGCTTAGTATCTGATGGATACAGCCCCTTCAATGAAAACAGTATGAAACTGTCATGATTACTTGAGCAGACACCACTGACAAAAGGAAATTTGTGCTTGAACTGTTGCTGCAGAAATACTTCAGGAAATATTTTTTCAAAGAGAATACAGATCTGGAGGGACATTGTCAAGGTTTAAAGATCAAAACGTGTGACTTGCAGTGTTATAATTGGACGGAAACAGTCCTCCAGATCTGAAACATCGGGTTCGGTTTCGTTTTTAAATCAAGCACCACATTTGTAGGAATTCTGTAGGACCTATATATCCTAGCGCCTGTTTCCCCCACTCGGTAACAGTGAGCTCTGCTGACAGAGCCAATGAGCCCGGCAGAGGTAAACAAATCCCTTCTGACGTGACAGAGCAGTACACAGTCAAACACTGCAATTCACATGAAAAAACAGACTGCTTCAAATCTAACTCTACTGGAAATGCCGGGCTCGCTCTAAATTCCCATTTGCCAAAGGAGGAGCAGACCAATTACCCATCCTCTTAAAGCAGCACTACAGAAACAAAGGCAGTGCTCAGCCTCTGGAGGTATTTAAGGTAAGGTAACCTGGAGGAAGGGCACTGCCTCCTCACCAGGACGAGCGGCTGTGCTGCAGCCCGTGAGCAGGACAGGGCTCCCGCCCGGCCGCCGAACAGGGCCACCAGCCAGGCCGCAGGCTCAGCCCAAGCCCTCCTGTGGTGACCCTCCCCACCCCCTGCCTCCTCCCCCGACCACCCAAGAGCCCCCCTGGCCTATTTTCGGAGGGGCTGGACAGCGTGGAGGAGCCCCACGCTCGCTTTCCTCCTGCCAGGACCACGTAACCACCAGGCTACCCAAAACCAGCCGGGGCTGGGGCTGGGCCCACAACCAGCTTCGGTGCTGGCAGCTGCAGATGCTCTCTGAGACCTCACAGGCAGCTGCCTCCTTCCTAAAATCCCCCCCCACGACGGGTGTCACCTCGGACACGAGAGCGTGGCATCCATCACCCTCCAGCTCCAGCAGAAAGCGGCCGCCCCAGCTCACCCGCCGGCACCCCGCGGCTGTCCCAGGGCTCACAGCTGCAGAGCCACCTGATGTCCCTGACCCGCGGCAGCAGCACGGGGCCAGGGCCTCCCGCAGCCCTGCCACAGACTTGCTTGCAATTTTGATCAGTGAGGGAAGAGGCCCAAAAAAAAAAAAAAAAAAAAAAAAAAAAAAAAGGAGGAAATAAAGATGTTCTCCTACTGGTTTTAGTTCTATATAGCCCCTCAGCACTAAGATAAAAAATAGAGATGATTGAAGGTGAAAAAACAAAATGAAACATAAAAAAAAAAAAAAAACAAACAAAACAAAAAAAAAAAAACAAAAAAAAACAAAAAAAAAATAAACAAAACAAAACACCCCTCACTGCAGGACAGGAAAACACTGCTCTTTTAGCAGAATTTTGGAAGGCCAAAAAAAATAATTAATCTGTTCTATTTTTTTTGAAGGAAACTCACCCTCTCTTTTCCCACGCAAACCAAAATGTACTAACGCTTTTTCACAGCTGTTACAAAAGATTTTTTTTTTTTTTAATTTTTTTTTTTTTGGTCCCCTGGAAGACTTTACCAAGACCGGTTTCCAAGAAAAAAGCTTGGATTAAATCCTTTTAAAAGAGGTCTAGCAGTCAGTATTTCTTTCCAGAAGGGATAAATAAACCCAAGGATTTCCTACCAAACTTGGACAAAATACTACACCTATAAATTCTAAAGAAATGCCGTTTCCTAATTTCACCTCTAATTTGAAACACGACCAAACCCAAAAATGCAGACTTTATCAAGAGGAGCTGTCATGAGGAGAAAGCCAACTAACTTCTCCTCTGAAGTAACCTGAGTAGTCCCTCAGAAAGAAAAGGCATGTGACGAGCTGCAAAATACATTCACCTCACTGATTATCACCCTGAAAAACTCAGCCCACAGCAGAAAAACACTTCCCATTCTGCAACCCCTTCCTGCCCTTCTTTTCTTCTTCACCCTCCCCAGGGGCAAAGCCCATCACCTGGCCAGTCAGGGTGAGCTTCAGCCTCTGCTGAGGCACGCCAGTTTTTCCACAACAGAAGCAAAAACCGCCCAGCTGGACCGCTCAGGGTGCCCACGCTGGCTCCACCCGCACGCACCCGGGAGGGCAAAGTGGGGTCACTGACTTCTGGCTAAGCCGTGTTTCGGGGTGTGGCGAAGGGCGGCTGCCACAGACAGACCTGCCAGCCCGCGGGCGGTATAAGGGTGGCCCCGTCCGCTCAACTCGGGGCTGGTCTTTTAGTAACTGGGACTCATCTGCTGCAAGCGCACCCTCCCAGCGCTGAAGAGGTGGAAAAAGCACAGCCCTCAAACACACGTGGGTAAACGAACGAGAACATCTCCATCAGAATTTCCAACGCACACACACACACGTTTTTAAAGAGGAGTTTTTTGACGTGGATGCGTTTTATCCGGAACGCCCATACCTACGTTTTTGCAGGTAGAATCTGCCCTGACTTGGCTCTGAATTTTCACAGGCATTTCAGGCCACCACCTCTGTGCTTTCAAGCCCGAGACTTATCTTCTTGTGCCCTAATTCCTGTGCTTAGTTTCCTGATAAGGGTCCCAAGTTACTGTACGATATCTTCCTCCTTCTCGGCTTTGGTTTGCTTTGCAAATGATACATGCCCACGACAGCGGAGACCGTTGACTGGAACATGGCTCCAAGGACATGCCTGGAGAACTGAGGAAACAGGTACAAATTCACACCCATCTCAGGTCACACCACACTCGTCAGCTCTCACATGGCTCCCATGCACGAACTCACTGCAGACATGCGTCCCGCTGCTTTCAGAGCCGTGACTGGCTTGGTGTTTCCCCCAGAGCAAGAGCTTTCCTTTGCAGGAGACACTCCAGAATCCAAAAGAGAGGTATTCTTTGAAAGCTGGAGTTCTTTCAAGCTCCAGACTCTTAGGACTATCAACAATCAACATCCTAAAACAGTTGTCTGCCTAGTCTGCTCCCAGAACGTATGGCACAAGCAACAAATTATTAAAGTTTTGCTGACGAATCCTGATTCATCACTGAGAAAGTCGTAATTAAAATATTTTTAGATGAGCCACCACCAAAGTCTGCAGGCAAATACCCAATTTTATACGCATGTTTACAAATACCACAGCTGTCATATGTCCTATGTGCTTTATCTCTACTTAAAACCAACTAGTCACAGCCAAGCCGCACGGATGTACATGCTTACCTTCAAAGCGGTGAGTAAATCCAATGGATTCATTCTCACCTCTAACCTGCATTTAGGGAGACACAACCACAAAGCATGTCAGCACCTGTGTAATCCTTCTGGATTTGGGGTTCCAGATTCACACGCTCCTGGTCACGCTTTCAGCGCCCAGAAATCCCCACGGGCGGCGGTGCTGACACAGCTGTCCTACCCTAACTGCCTCCCGTGCGTCGGCTTTAGGGACTGTGCACCAGCACAGTGCCCAGCACCCACCGAAGCACCTTCCCAGGCAGCTCTAAAGCATTTAATTGCCTGAGCCAATATCTTGCATTTATACAGCATCCCACACCTAGAAATACCCCAAATCGTGAGCTTCACGGGTTTGACACGTCTGTTGGTAAAGGGCACAAAGCACCCACCGCTGTGAGGCACCAGGATGTTGGTAACAAATCCCAATTCTTTAGCCTAACAATAGCAGACAACAGCCAGTGGCAGGAAGTAAAACCATAATAATAATTTGAAAACAGAAGAAATTTGGCCAGCACATTCCGGATGAGTGTTTGGGAGATTATACGTTAAAACTGACATTTCCCTTCTGAACAAAAATATCCAATTTCAATCTTCTGCAAAGAACAAGACACACTCAAAAGCTCCTTTCTGTAGGAATATGTTTTCCTCCTGCCTCCCTTTCCTCTCCAAAAGACCTGAGAGCAGTTCTTTCCTGCAGACACTGTAATAACATATGCACCCAGAGTACAGGCGGATATCAAATAAAATCCCCCTGAAACTCCACCAAATGAATACAGCATCAATCATTTTCTTCCATGGGAGAAAGGTGTGCCAGTCGTGACTCTTCCGTTTTTGTCCTCAACCCATTCCTGCAAAGATAATGTATCAACACAAACCAGTTCTGACAAATGCTCCACTTCTTGGAGTTCTGTCCCACCTGCTTGCAGAAGCTGGTTTTGAACACAAACAAAAAATGTAGATTGAAAGGTCCGGTTACCCCTTGGACCTCCAGTTTGCCCATGTGTGTTTTAAATAACTGTGTACCTTGGTTCCACCTGAACAGTTACACAAAACAAAATAAGGTTGAAATAGTCCAAGTAGCACGTGACAGTTGAGTCAAGCACAATGGTCTCTTCCAAAGTGGTATAAACCTCTTCCTGACCTGAAGGAGAAAACAAATCAGACTGAACCCAAGAAACAGCTTGTCTGCAAAATGGGAGATGCTTGTACGCATCACTTGCATTGTTCATGATCTCTGTACTCATCCATGTCCACATCTGAATCAAAGAGGGAGTGTCCAGTGTAATCTGTGTCAGGGGTTTGAGAAATACTGTTCCCTTCCTCATCAAATGTTTCTGTCCTTGAATAAAAACTGAAGTCCTGCAAAGGGGAATAAGTCTTGCTTGCTTCGCTGCTTTCCTCAGATTCATACAGAGTGTTATCGTCATCATGGTGCCATTCGGGCCAAAATTTCCTCCTTATTCTCTCACAATACATAGCAAGATTAATCAGTTCACCTGCAACACAACACAACAGACTCCAGTAAACATATCCAGTCAATAATGCTCTAATTCACCTGCTGATGAAGAAACATGTTAGCACTCTTTGGAAATAAATTGTGCAGGTTCCTTCCAAAGAGGTTTCAAAATGCCAAGATCCCATCATGCCTATTAGAGGCTCTGTTTGTAACGTTCAGGTAACTTAAAACACCTGTCATTAACCTACATACAACAAGAAGGGTTACACAGGAACGAGCACAAATGCATGTAGCAAAATAATTATCACAAATTCAACCTCGACAGAAATAAAACCAAGACAAGATACTAATACTTTAAGTTTTTCATAGTAAAATTCCTGCTTATTTTGCAGAAGCCTGGCTCCTAAAGACAATTTGGTCCTATACATACACAATACACTTACTAAAATACAGTGAATTTGGGTTTTCCACCACCAGATGGCAGCGTTGTCTGCAAGATAAATTCACATTTTTAAGGTTTTATATGGTCACTGGCTCACCTGTAACGTTCCTAGCCTTAGTGTCTTACACCTTATGTTTATACATACATGTACGCTTAGAGAAGAAATTACAAAAAACTTCAAAGAACAAAGAAATAATAGTATATTAAAGGGAACGTGTATGTAAAACCTGCGTTCACAATAGCATGAATAGGGGAATGGGTAGAGAGAATCACCCACAGTGCTTGGGGTATCTGCATCTATTAACTTTCAGGAGACAAACTAGTTCAAACAACATTGTATTAATTCTTGCAAGCCACAGACCCTTCAGAATTTTATCTGTGATTCCCCAGATATCAAGGGGAAGAACTGTACAGACAATATTTGCATCCTTATCTCTTTTTTTTCCTAAAAGTTTTAATAATGAGCAAGTCTATGCCTCCTAACTGTTGCTTTAGTAGCACTCTCTTGTGCAGAGTAGAACTACAGGTCAGATTCATTCCTTTTACACTTATTTCACAACCTTTTCCTCCTTAGCTCCTGCTATTTTTCATACTGCATGGTTTTATCTGAAAATGGATGCAGAGATACTTTCACACGCCTATACCAGCCCACAAGAATAATAAAAAAAAAAGAAAAAAAATTTGTGTGGAGGGGAGGAGTATGATGTTGGTTTCCAATTCATGCAAAAACACAGAGACTCCAAAGTCAGGCTGGATTTTTTCCTTGCCCAGCATCTTCAATAACAGCAAAGGCTGTCATTTCTGTGGGACAATAGCACTTGCAGTTATACCGTGAATTAAACTACTCAGCTCAGCAGAATCTGGCTCACGGTCGTGCTCCTGTCTTCTCATACTTTACCCAGCATTCAGTCTTTGCTATGTTAAACAGGGAAAAGATCAGGTCCAGGAATAGAAACAAGTACCACGTAGACCATTAAAGAGCAAACAAACAAGAACTTTAAAACAACATTACCGGATACAAATGCTACATCAAAGGCAAGAACAACTTGAGATGCAGTTGAAGTGCTGCTGCAGTCTTCAAATGCCCTTACACAGTGCTCTAAGTTTAAACATGGCAAATGCCACATAGTTTTTCATGAGAGATCACTGAAGTTTTCTTACCTTTGATAAGTCTCTCTGGACGAGTCCCTGGTAGTGTCCACATTGCCTGTGCCAGATGCCCGAAGACAGTGGCATCAACAGTGGAAACATTTGATCCCATAATGTACTTCTTGTCACCTGTAAATACAGCAGCAAACATTTTTTGACTGGACATCATTTCTCTTCAATTTAAAAAAAAAAAAGTATCCCTGGTTACATCTTTAGCTTTTTTTTTTTTTTACTGAAATCATTTAGCTGAAAAGGTTCACTGGTTCAAAGGCAGGGATTCGATGTTGAACATGGTTCAAAAGCTTTTGCTAGGGTTCCACAGATGTAATCCATTACTGCAGCTTCCTCTGTGCTCACCACTTCTATAACTAGGCCAATTACAGAGCCACCACTGGCCAAGTAACCTCCTCCGCTCACCACAGCTGGCAGCACATATACACTGCACTAGTTCTGCTGCATTTAAAATCTCTGCAGGCAGTAAGTGCCCGAAAGCACAATTTTATCCTTTGGTGCAAGCCCAAAAATCGTTCAAATGTGGTTCGAAATCAGGAATGCACTTACTGAAAGAAGCTGGTCACCCTGTATCTCTCGCGCCCGTAGATCCAGTTTTAGGTTACTCATCTGATCACACGAAAAAAGAAAGTCGTACTCAAAGCTCTCCTCTCCCACCATTTGTTCAGGCTGAAACCGATGCACCCGCCAGACTGGCAACAACTGCCCAGAAACGACCTGCATCTCCAGGAGGACACAGCTGTGAGCAGGAGTGAACAGCTCCTCTCACACACCACTGGCGTGGTGCCCCCAGCCCCAAATACTGGTTTCTACCCAGCAGGGACCAAACAGAGGCACATCAGGCACACAGGCAGGCAGGGGAAACGGCAGCTGCTTGGGGCTGGCCTGTTCCAGAGGAGGGACATGTCTGCTCCACACTGCTCTTCTGCTTACCTCTCTGGGCACCCCAGTGCCATGATGGCCCTAAGTGGCCACCACAGCACAAACAGGTGGGGAACTACCTAAGGTAGGGAAGAGAAGCACGTTTCAAAGCCACCGTTTGCAAAGAAACACTGTAAAGTTTACACTGTTTGCAAAGAAACCAGTGTAAACCTGTTTCCTTATCACAGGCACCAGACCTGGATCAAACACCACACAGAGGTGCAATATGCGGTATTGCAGAGGTCAGGTTAGATGGCTGCACTGTCCCTGCCTTGGCCCAAAGTGCTATAAACTCTGTGAAATGTGGTATGTAATTGAATTCTCCAAATCCAGTTATCCCATCTCCCCAGGACATTCTTCCCCTGCCCAATATAAATTGCAGGTCATTAAATGTAAGTCAGCAGGTTATTCAATGTTGGGGTTATTGAGTGAGTTTAGAAAAACTGTCCAGCATTAAAATGCATCAAATTCCAGAGTACAGTACAATGAACGCTGTCATTCCCCTGTACTGTAGTGTAGCAAAGCAGTGCTCAGAAATAACCAGTAACAATAACCTCCTCTAGCCTCTCAGATGTAATTTCAACACCAAGTTAACTCCCCACAGCTCTTTCATGGCTGCATCAATCTATTGTTTGAAAACTACGTGCAGGGTAAATGTTGTGTCTTTCCAGTATTTATGTGACGCCTAGCATTCATCAATCTCAAACACAGCTCACAAATTGGTCCCCGAACCACAGTTATATGCCAACACTAGGAATTTAGCACCATACAACCGGGCCTGAGACTCTATTCATAGCGATGTTGTGCTGGGCAGTGATACTGTTGTTTCCATCTTGCTACCACTAAGGCAGGCAGCGAGTGAGGACTGAACCATCCCACTCTTTTGCAAGCAGAGTGGTTCCCCCAGGCACAACACCCCACACCTTCAGGTGCGCAGAAACGAAGGGGAGGAGGAGGAAATAGAGCTGTGGTTCCATAAAACTGTAAATCTGGTTTTGGGTCACCCGGCACCACGGCCTCCGTGCATATTTCCTTCTATCAGTTCCAATCCGTTCCCAAAACTTCCAGTGCAACCTTTTTCCAGAAGACTTTCTGACAGACCAGATATCATCTCTCAGTGTCTAGTTTTATGCCAGATCACACGGCGCCCGTCGCATCAAGGCTGCCACAGCTCTAATCATCTCTAACACCTCACCGCATCCCCTGGCTAATCCAACAGAAATGCAACCACCTGGTCACGCTTGGATCACATTTGTACTGCCTGGGGATTTGAGAGCACACAGCCCATGCAACCGGGCTCTGTGCTCCACTCCCCCAGGCACCAGAGGATCCAAAAGCAGCCATTTCAGCACTAGGTCAAGAAATCCTGGCAAGAGACAGATCTACGAGCCACAGGGCTAGCAGGAGACCTGCACCCTTCCACAGCAGCACCTACAGCCCACGCAGGCTGCTGTGGGGCATCTCAATTCGCACCAGAGCTCCGCGTTCAGCTTAGCCCCTCCTCTGTATTTCAGCTCTGAGCACCCCTGCCCTCCACAAAACATCAAACGGTTGGCAAACGCCGGTTCAGGCAGCTGCTGCCCTGCAACTCCCTGCTCAAAATCCCCATTTACCCAAAAGCCTGAGGCAGGCAAACAGATTTATGGGCACTGCTCACTCACTTGCATCTTCTAAATAATTACCAAAACGCGTATTTTATATATATTGCTAGTTCATATGGCCAGTTCCCCACATTTCTTGACACTACTACCAGGCAGCAGCAAACTACTACAACACACGGAAGTTACATTTGTGGTTTAAAGACTGCAGGATAGAGAGCAAGATGATACCAATGGGGCAGTCTGATCCGTCGCAGAGGGATTAGTTCCAATTTCCACGTTTATAAGAGATCTGGAGGAGCCTGTTAGGGAAACAGATCGGTACATGGGAGAAGGAAAAATGATTCTCAGAAATGAAAAAAGGAAGAAAAAAAGCACCCAAGATGTGACTGGGAATGTCAAAATGAGTGTCACAAGACCTGGCAGCTGCCAAGTTGTCATCCTCTGGAAGCAGCACTTGAAATTTAAAAGTTATTCTTGTTCCCGTGTGAATGGTCTCTCTTAAAAAATTGGGAGCACTAAATTAATCTTATATGCCTGATGACTGACAGCTACAGTTTGGCACGTGCAGCTATTCTGCGTGACAGGCACACTTTTTAAACTCTTAAGATTGGCCTCTAATTAACAGCCAAAATCCCGACTGCTTCCTCCTCTGGGAAAACACGCTGGCACATATTTGTGGAGGGGAATCTCAGAGATTTTTGTGCAGGCAGTAGGCTGACTGACCACCTTCTCCTTCCCGCTGCGAAACAGCGGAGTCTTCAGTCAGGCTTGAAGTCCTCATCCCACCTCCTCTCCCCTTCCCAGGATACCACCTGGAGGCCGCAGTTACTAGACCCAACCATAAACAGCTGGCTGGAGAAAACCTGAGCAAGCTGGTGTTAATGAAAAAATCAGGGCAATTACAGAGAAGCAGACAAACACACCAGTAATCAAAAGGGCAAATATAACGATTCACGTAACTGCGTCCTGATTAATATGACATCCATTTATTTCAGAGGGGAAGATGAAAAATGTACAATCTTCAGCTGGTAATGGAGTAAAACAGGAATGCAGCAGATGCCCATCAAGGCTTGTTGAAGTACACAAGGCACAACATTCTCATCAATAATCTGGAAGTAAAAATAAAATCCCTTCTGATAACTTATGTACCATAAAAAAAAATGATATAGTGAAGAAAATACCTTGTCCTTGAGGAGTTCCAATGATTTTTCCCACCCAAACCAAAAATAAATGCTATAATCCGTCAGTCTTTTATCTTCACAAGGAGATGACCCAGGCCACCCAGGGAGGGAGGAAGAACTAGGACAAGCATGTGTCTGCAGGCTGGAATCGGACAAACTCCAATTTGAAACAGGTCAGATTGTGAACAGATGTTGATGGTGATTAAGATCTGCCACCAATTACTAATGAAAGTGGTGGCACCTCCACCTGCTGAAATCTCGTAATTAAAACTGGATGCCTTTTTAGAAAGACAGAAAAAAGACACAGGCCTCATGACAGCAACCAAGCAGCCCAATTCAGAGATTTGTCTAGGTGATTTAATGATCCCTTTGAACTCGAACCTTTACAAACCTGAGTGCGGTATAGACTCCCGAGACAGAAGGATGCAGACTTCAAATAAGCAAGCAAGAGACTTTTACAGGTACTTGGGAGCATGTTTCAGTTTTCTCCTGAAGGCTACATCTACCCTTGGCAGACAGGGATGACTTTGGCACAGACACATCCGTTGCTGCTCCGTTCAGCCTGCCGATGTTGCCTAGCCAGAACCAGGGGGCTCTGCTGAGCTCCCAAGTCATAGGTTGAACTTCCTCCAGCTCCCGTTCCCCAAGCCCATTCGTCTGAGACGTACATGGAGTCACACAATGCCAACCTCAAAAGTATGGCAACAGTAGTCCCACAGTTGAGTGAGCTGGTTGCAGCTCTGCAGCAGGTGTGCCCAGACCTCTTCTTCCTCCCTTCCTTCTCCACAAAGAAAAGGGAACTCTTAAGCTCCAAAACCAGGTTTTCTTTGAAGAGGCACTAGAGAAGGTAATTTTCTGTTAATAAACAAAATGCAGCATGACAAAACATTGACACAAAGGGAGTTGGCAACAAACGCTCCCCTTGCTCATTGTGCCCATGCATCACATGTCTTTCTTCCACCTTGCTCCCAATCCAGCAACACAGCAGGTTTGTTTCAGAAAACACAGTTACAGAAAAAAAGCTACACAGCCTTATCTAGGTCCTCTGTAAATATCTTCCTTTCCAAAACAACGTGAAAGTCCAGAAGCATCTCCCTCCCTTCCCTTTCTCAGCAAGCACTCAGTTTCTGCCTTCTGCTGGGCATCCCTCACCTTGTTCCCTCCATCCACTTCAGACTTGTCCTTGTAGAGCATGCACAATACGTCTTCCCTCCAGAGCACAGGGCAGGGAGGCATCCCTCCTGCCCTCTACACAGCAGCCTCTTTGAAGTGATCATAACAGGGAGCAAAGCAGCCACAGAGGTACCATCTCTCTTGGCTGCTCATGCAAGAGAGACACAAGCTCAAGGGAAACAACAATCTGCCGCAAACCAGTTCCCCAAAATGCAAATTTTACACAGAAGCACAGTACGGTTAGCTCTAAGCAGGCTTCAAGGTGAGATGCACAGTACAGACAGCTCCAGTGCAGATTTCAGCCTGAGCTACATAGCAGAAATGAGGTTCATGTGGTTCTAGTTAAGGGACTGACACTATGGGATCCACCCCCGACAACCAACAAGCCTAAAACCACCTATTTTGACAGCACAGACCCATCTCCTACTAGCATATTTACATAAACCAAATACAACAAAGTCTAGCTCATTAAAATAACATCTGCAAAGGGTTTTCAAATGGCAGCCTCTAACAATCTAAACAGCCATGAGTCCCGCGAAGAAAAAATAAGACCCTCTAAAATATAAATAAGAAGCTTTATTTGCAGAACCAAACACTACGTTCTCCTGAATTCACACAGCAAAACACTCTTCCAAAAACCACAGGCCGCGTTCTGCTCCTCTACATACACGTACCCAGTGCTCAGAGGGGAGTACACCCCTAGGGACACAATTTGGTAACAAAGAGAGAGGAAAGAAACAAGTGTCCCTGCCAGAGCAGGGGTGGCACTGAATGGCGGCAGCAGCAGTGCGGACTCCACCTACGGACCAAATGAGGTTATTTGCGTCCACGACCAAGCTGCCCAGAAGTACTCACAGCCCATTTCACCCTGTGGACAGCGGGCTGCCAACAAACAGAATGCGCGTAACTGGTGGTACGTTACCCAGGAGGCCTGCTAGAGTCCGCATGTCCTTCTCCATCAGCGTGTACATCTCCTCCTCCGAGAAGCGGCCAATGCCGTGGCCGTACATTTCCCGCTTCACGATCCCTTTGGTCAGATGGCACAGGATCCACTTCAGCAAGTCGCTGAAGGGGCCAAAAAGCGACACCATCTTTTGCGTCTCGTGAAGATTTTCCACCCATTGGCAATAAGCTAAAGTCCTAGAAGGATGCGAAAATAGGTTATAAGGGTGCAGTACCCGGAGAGCCCACCGCCACCCTGCAAAGGCTGGCACAAAGGTTAGGCAGCAAGCTTTCCCAACACTGAGCGCTCGCTGCCCTGATGGAGAGGTTGCTTCCAGTGAAGAGCAGACCCTGAGGCAACTCGGTGACAGCAGAGAAAACTGACTTTTAATACTTACGCAGACCGCCCGGTGCTTATTCTCTCACTAAATCGTGACTCACTTCAAGAGAAAATTCAATTCACATTGAAATATAAAATAAAAGCTGCAGAATTCTCCCTAAGCTCACATAACAAAATGTTATGTGCCAACAGTGCCAAAAGGATTTATTAGCTAAAGATGATTGATTGCACAGACCTAGAGAAAACAACAACAAAGCAGCCCACAAAGAAACCAATCTTTCCCACCAACCTGTCCTCCTTGCTTTCTATACTGCTGAAACTTAGCCAAGCAGTAACTCTGCCCCAACATAAATATCATAGAAGTCATTTTTCAGATCTCTGCTCTCCTCAGAAACCAACAATGATCCAATCTTTTCAAAATAAAATAAAAAATTAAGGGGTGATGGTTACCGAGTTACTCTTCTCCTGTATTTTTCCTCTCTTCAAAATGTTGATTTTATGACACACACATTTCTAAAGGACTCTTGTATGTCAGGCTGTTATTTCCATTTTATTGAATGGCAAATACATCGTTTTGAAAGGTCTTTTTATAAAAATTTGTCTTACCAGATTAAGTTTTTGTTTCCTAGATGAATTTTTGTTCTTTATTAATATGGTAAGCAAACAAAAAACTGATTTGTTGCTGTCACTATTCAAGAAACTTATGAAAAAAGAAACATTAACTTTTTTTAATATCTAGCATCTTCTGACATTACAAAAAAAAAAAAAAAAAAAAAAAAAAAAAACAAGACGACCGTATGACTTTTGTCACCAAGTTCAAGGGAAGTTGGAAAATGGGCTGAAGACATCTCAAATTAGACATGACAAACATATGAAGCCAACAGGGTCTCGGAAACGCTGGGAGTTGATACCCGTATTCCATTACGTTTGTAGCAATTTCCAAACTGCAAAATCTAAAGTGGATTTACATATTTGAGATCATATGAAAACAGACTCATGGAGACATGATAAACTAGTGAAGCTAGACTGAAAAGTTGAAATACCAAAAGTTGCAAGTTCACGTACACATTTATATTAAATACTAACTTGATAATCAAAGGTTTCCATTTCCAATATGATCACAGCTCGATTCTTTTAGTTTGGAATATGACTTCAGTTTTATCATTGTACACATTTCTAATGGCACACAATTTCCTCAGTACTGATATAGATCGTCTAATTCAAGAAAGGAGAAAAAAAAAAAAGCAGTACCTCCTGGAAAACTCCTGTGACTTTTTTTAAATGGACATTTTATCAAATACCTGTATGTCATGAACAGAAGTTGAATTCAGCAGAACCATCAGCAAACAAAAACCACTTACACTATGAAAATGTTCTATCTTTAAGTTTCCACAGATTCTTTACTTGAATTACAATAACATGAGATAAAAGGAGAATATTTGGCATAACAGCTGAAAAAAATCCACTTACAGCTCAACTTAAGAAAGCTCCCAACAGATTGGGTGAAAGGCATTTTAATTCTATTAAAAACTGTCCACTGCAGAACAATGCCTTCTGCTCAAATTGATTTAATTAAAGTCAGTAACAGTGAGGCATGTGCAGGTCTTGCTACAAATGCATGAGCAGTGAACAACAAAAATGCACCTGCTATGTTTCTGATGGCTTTTATCCTCAACAGGTTTCTCCACAACCTCTTGCACTGGTATTAATATAACAAAAGCATCCTGCTGACATCTCACACGCTTCAGTACCACTCTTCGAACGGGGGTGTTCTGCACAATCCTTATTTTTAAAATGGATGGATCAACTCAAGTCATTGGGCTGGTTTCAGCACAGCAGAGTTTGAAGCAAAGCCAGATTTAGCGAGAGGCACCAGCACAAAAGGGGGAGTGTGAAGCCAGCAAGCACTGGAGCAAACAGCTACTGAAACTCCAGAAGTATTAACTTCAGCTAGAAGACGCAGTGCGAGACTGCCTTGCTCCAGGAACAAGGGCAAAACAGGATTTAAGAAGGGTGGAAAGACTGTGCTGAAAGCATAAGGGCACCCCACAGAGTTGAACGTTTCAATAGCCACGTTTCATGGGCCTAGGAAAGTCCCTTGGGCAGGTACAGCTCTGAACAAGAAGGAACACTCTGGTCTTGATGCGAACATGATGGGAAATAACTGCAAATACTGTCTATATCCGTGTTAGCATTTATTACTTGAATAAGCTAAGAAAAACCTGCTGAGAGCACTGTTGTGTGTCTTGCTGCAAAGACACTCCCCCAGCACAGACCTGACAACAACTCTGCAACACAACTCAGTTGCTTTAGGACAACAGGCCTGGCCACGGAGAGGAACAACAAGGAAAAAGGAGCCACAACAAAAGAGAAAAAGAAGAGAGGAGACTCTGCTGCAGCCTTTTTTAAGTCACTCCAGTCACACAAGACTGGCTGAGCCCTATGGACTTGCCATCACTATTTGTGTTGGGTTCACTCCAACCACACCAGCGAGCTAGCACCACCCCGAGAATGATCTATCCGGTCGAGATTGGCTTTAATTTCCCGAGACAGGATGAACAAGGTTTCCCACAAAGCTATTTAACTTATACTTTAGACCAAAAATACATTTACCTAGCGCTCGCTTGCTCTGCAGGAGAAAGTCTGTGGGTCTGGAAGAGGCAGAGATGAGAGATCAGTTTAACGATCAGGACAGCAACGCAGGAAGAGCACAACTGCACAGAATTTAGCTAATCCTGCTTAGGTTAAACTGTCAAGCACAATCTTAAAACATCTGCTTGTCACTTTGAATGAGTAAAGTTGTCACATGTCCCAGATCTCAAATTTACATGAGCAATGAAGGCAGATAAACAGACAACCACAGAATTTACTCCTAAAATGTTATGGTTCTGAGCACATCAACGCAAAGAAAAAAACAGGCTCAGATTCAGAGAGACAGCTAAAAGCAGTTTTAAAATTTGCCTTACAAGCACTTTGTTAAAATAATTTTATTGAAAGGTTTACTAATCTGTGCTTCCTATCAAAACGTGCTCCTCTGCATTTAATCGCACCCATTATCCCTCTCCTCAGACTACATTACTGGAGTATTATCAACATGACAAAAGGTTAGAAAATGTCAGAAATCAGATAGTCTACATAACCTCTGTCAGCATAACTATACATTTTAAACTACAGATTGTATTTATAGGATGACATAATTATTTTAAATATTGGCCCGAACTAAGCACTTTGGGAAACATTTCCATTTGTGCCCGCACATCTGTAACAACCTCTGAGTATAAATAAAACAATAATGTGTTAAAGAGCAATGCTGCGGAGGTGAAGCAAATCTGGAGTCTAAATGTAACAGCAGCTTTGGCCTCAATACATAAATCAGAAAGGGAGATGGAGAAAGTGACTCATCAACAGCAGCTTGCCTGATTATCCCCAAACTGTCTGAACATCAAGGCAAGGGGGGAGGTGTTCACAAGGATGTGAACTGGGGGTTATTTTTCCTATCTGAATCTGTGCAGAGTGGAATTTCTTGATACACAAAAGGATTACAACAAATTCATTCCGCAATCAGCTGCAGAAACCCCACCTGCTGTGAGCCATCCCAGAGCAACTGGCTTTTAAGCTGCCCGTGGCATTCAAGCCTCATCACTGTTAATAGCAGGAGAGTCATCGCTCTTATAATTGTCTTGATGTATTTAAACATGTTTATAATATAAAACACATTTTATGTTTAATACATGGCAAGTCAGAATACCAACCAAAGTCAGATTTATTTGTATTCTCATACCATGCTTCCCCTGTAGTGCAAGCACTCACCACGTATGTGCTGTTTACGTGTTCTTCTTGAAAGACAAAGCAAGAAATGAGTTAAATATGTATGTATATATGTAAAATATGTAAATATATATGTAAAATATATGTATGTGTGTGTGTATGTAATACACACACTCTTGTAATCACTAAGGTCGTGTTTGACAATACAGCTAAACCAACCTAACAGGACAGTTTGGTTAAGCTGCATATTCAAGGCTTTAGGTTCTCACTAAGCACTACGGGAGTGCCACAGACCCGAGATCTCCCTCCAGAGAATAAAGTGCCAGAAGGCATCTCACAATGACTGCTAGCTCCCCAGGCACCAGGAGCTGCCTAGTTTGAAGGCTGGCAGTGCCCCCAAGCCCAGCGTGCCAGCACCAGGAGGATGTGAGAATCTGACACCCTCCAGCCCACCTTACTACACAGAGGTCTGATCCCGCAAACACGCTGCAGATACACCAAAAACCCCAGTACATACTGAAGGTGGCTGTGGGTGCCCCACTGGTTTTTGAGGACCCACAGGTCAGTGCAGGCAGAGAAGGTGACCCAGAGCAAGCCTTCAGCAGAGGACAGCGGTCCTACACCGGATCCAGGCCCTGGGGTGAGGGCCACAAAATCAGTCCGCTCCCGTCTCTTCCCTGCTGACTCAGCCCAATGCCCGTTCAGGTTAGCAGGCTTTTTTCCTTTGCTGATTTAAACATAGCAAAAGCTTAATAGTTATGGCCTTCTCCAGGGACAGCAGCTTCAATGCCAGCTCCAAATCAGTCTTGAGCATCTCAGAGATATGCTCTAATCCTGGCACTAAAATAGGTGCGCTCACCCACTCGCTGTCTTTCTGCCTGGCTCCTGCCAGGCATCGCAGCCTGGGGCAGAGGCAGGCTATCTAGGGGCTGAGGTTCACAACAGACTGGCCCCGCTCTCAACTCCAGCCAGAGCAGCAACTTCCACCTGCAAGAGGCACTAATTGGTGAAAATGAGCAATTACCTCAGCAAAAGCAAAAAGTTTCGGGAGGAGATGCTGAGCACCCACCAGGATTAGCTCTATCCAGAGAAGCACACCACAGGATGTACTTTGCTTCTTTGCCCAATAAATGTACTACAGCATTACTTATTTATGATGAAGGTACTTTGCATGCTGCTGGCAAGGAAGCGGTATGAATCACATTTTGTATCACTGCTTTGGAGGCTTGTTTTTATAAAACCTTATTCTGGAGAAAGGCGATCACGGTTACAAATTCCTCACCGTGTGACTTGAGGACCCCATGAACAAACCCTAAGCTTCTGGTGGGAAGTGGGCTGATTCAGGGAGCAATGTGCAGGGATCCCACAAGCACAGACGCAGTGCTGTCAGGGAGAAACATGGTCCTACACAGCTAAAGCCTGATTTTATTTTGGTGTAACTACAGGATTGTCGAAGTTGTTATCCAGGAATTACAGCGGTACAACTGTGCTCAGGCCTTGCCTGGTACAGAGAGACAGCATGGTGTGACCTCACCAACATAACAAACCTCTGGTACAGTCACACAGCAGCAACATATAATAAGACCTACAGTTGGATGTTTTAACTACACTGCAGCAAAAATACATGCCTTAGGGAAACTCCAGTGTGTGACTAAACAGGAAAGGCAACAGGGATATACAGTCAGGCACGCACATCTCTATTCTTACTTGGTCTGGATTTGTTCACCCATTTCCCTGGGTCAGCACCTGAATTTGCAATACCAGCTCCCCCGTGCTCCCCTGTCTAACGCCCAGCGGTGTCGAGTCAGCTCAGAGGGAGCCTGGATGGACAGCCAACAGCTTCACAGGGGAAAGCACAATTTTTAGTTGAGACACAGCAGCAGTGTAGTCTGTCATCAGTGATGTCACATTTAAAGCAGTTAAGTCTACGGACCACAAAACAGCAACACTAAGGTAAGGAGACAGAGCATTAGGGTATTCAAAGGCCTCCTCTTCCCTTTGGTAGCTATAATAATTGAGGGAGGGGAAATGAACCAAAACCAAGTTACATTTGCAGGCTACTTGAGTCAGACTTTTGAGGCTATGGTACTGCAGATGAGTCCAAGAGGTGAAGGTCACACTTTTTGGAAGGCAGAGATTACACTTCTAAACCGTATCATTTAAATCTGCCTACTGAATGCTAAAATTGTTCCCAGAAAACACTAAAAATTATTTGAAGAACTCTACATACACGTTGCTGTTGATCTTCAGTCACAAGGTGAAAGAAAAAGCATTCAATTTAAATCACACATTGTTTGTTTTGACGAAAAAAAAAAGTACAGTATAAATGCAAGACTTAGTAGAGCAAGGACTTAAATGCATGCTAGAAAGCAAACTATTGGGAAAAAGCCTTGTGCCTGCTGAGGCAGCCAACGTAGCATCCAAGATTCCATGTTCACCTGCTACTTCTATGAATCCAGACTGGAAAGGGCAGTTAAAAAGGACTGAAATGTAAAAGAGGGAAGGGTGAGGGTGGAAACTACAGGTATTCTTTTCAAAGGTGCCCGTCAAATGGGTAAAGTGCCAGCAAGGTTATACTTATGTTTGCCATCCATACACATACTTCAGCTTCTCAGGATACTGTGACTAATACTGTATCCTATCAACTAGCAGTGTTGCCAATACATATTAACAGGAGTATCCTGTGTCACAGGAAAGGCAATAATCCATATTGTAATCATACACAGAGATAACTAAAATCAGTACCTGTAAGAACACAATATTCTAGATTCACACTGAATGCTGGACTTGTTCTCCTCCTCCCTCAACGCACAAACATGTTCAGCCACCTTGATATTTTTGCTCTTTATTAACAAGGAAGTTTCTATATGGAGGTCATATGAAACAGGATGGAGGAACAGCTCACTGCTGCTCCCCTCTGCAAAGCTGCAGGCAAAGGGCTGACTCCTGACCTTGCCTGTACAGAACGACAACTCTCAGGGGAGTTACCCCCAGCTCATACTAGTGTACGCAGAAAGCAGCAGAAGTTTTCTAAGGTGAAAAGAATTGTGAAATTAATAATTGGGTACCCAAGCTTTGAGCAAGAGAAAAATAATCATTCACGTCCAGGGCCCGATCTGACAGCACAAAAACACAGCCAGCTTTGCCATGCAAGCTTACCAGTAGAAGTGCTCCTCCACCATCTTCGTCACGGCTCTGGAAACAGCTCTTTCATGTGGACCAAGGTGTTTATTTAAATTCACTCCAAGTTTCTCTTCCAAAAAGTCAATAATGAACTCAGTGCCAGACACTTTCTTGTGATTGTATTCAATCCAAGGCATCTTCCCTTGAGGGGAAAGTTTTCCATCAAAGTAGTTCTAAGAAAAAGAAAGCAAGTAAACAGACAGACAAAAAAGGCCCTTCAGGTTCTGTTTCAATGAGAATAAAGCTTTATAAATATTTTTCTATGGTTTTAAAGGCAACATTATCCAAACAACTTTTTTTTTTTTTTTTAAATTAATGATCTAGACTAGTGTTGGCTGTTCCATCAGAGCAACAGCTTTACCCTGTACGACAATTCAGATAAAATTATTTCCAGGTCCTGCAAGGTGTTAAGACGCTTTTACGTTGGATGCCACATGATGTAGTATTATTTAAGTACCTGGGTTATTGAAGGGCGAGAGATGCTCAGATCTCTGGGAAGATTGGGCCCATTATTCTAAACAGTTTTCTAATCACAGGATTCACAACCGAATATGGCTCTTAACATGAAAAGTGCTGTTCTGTGCAAAAGTACTTTATAAAGATTAATTCGCTACCTATCTTTGATAGCTGCATTACCTCCAAAGTGTAACACACACACACACTCTATCATAAGCATATAATGAAAGGCCTATCATTCCCTCACTGAGCAGGAAGGAAATCTGCCTTTACATATGCTTCTGCAACTTCATAACTTAGAAATCTCATATGTTTACAGACACACTTGTTACAACCGGGTCTCCCAAGAGCCCAACACCAGCACAGTACTAGCACAATACTCTGCGTAGCGCTCACGCAGAGGTAGCAATGTATTTTCCCCATTTTGCAGCTGGAGAAGGTGAAACACAGAGATTAGAGAATTTATGTCTCATCTGACAAACACAAGAGGAATTGCTGGCTTCCATAAACGTGATCAGACATCTGACTTCAATTCTCTCTTACTCCAGAAGGCAGAGACACAAGGCAGAGCTTTCTTCTTTTCTTGTGATTCCTGTCCTCGCATCCTGTTATTTAATGAATGACAAAATCCTAGCTCAGAAAGCCAAAGCATAAAGGCTCTGCACTCAGCCTCTGGCAGTCACCCTAAGCATTTCGGGAGCTAGCTCCTAATTGCTAGAGGTTTAGGGTTACCAGTTCTGGACTGACCTGTTTCGGTCTCCAGTATCTACCCTTCTTGAATCCACTAAAGATGGACGAAGGGCCTCTCGCAGCAAGACACCAGGACACGCCTCCAGCTCAGGCTGAGAGCACAGCATCCTGGCTACCACTCAAAACGTGGATGTGCAGCGCACGACGAACGCGCGGCCATTCCCGGAGGCTCTTCCCTTGTGGATGAAAACAGAGGAAGCGGGTAACACTGCTGGGAAAACAATGCCTCCCGGCTGCAGCCTCCTCTGGGATTTCTGCCCGAACACATAGCATGGGAGGGACACCACCAGATTACAGTCTCATCTGCTGCATCCCTGCGTGGGTGAATAAAGCAACTGAATCCACCCCGCTCGCACGTGTGGGCGATGTGGGGGTTATTACTCCGGTCCATGGGAGAGCACTGCCCCATCCTTCCACCTTCCAGACCTTTCCTTCATCAGAAAGGTTCTTTCAGCACTCAGACTGATAGGTCTCCATAATTTTTCACTGTGAATTTACCACAGAATCGTAAGATTTTTCTAGAACTACATAGTGAGTCTATACATGGCACTGAGCATTGCTGGCTTAAGCCTTGTTAAGCCCTTTCAGTATGACATTTCCCTTCTCGTGCACAAACCCTGATATTTTGCAGAAGCTACTAGACTTGAAGGTGTGTTTATGACATATTGCAATTACTGTACTCTGTATCATTTGCAACCCAGAAAAAAAAAAGTTCTTATTCAACTGCACATTTCTTCAAGCACATATATATACTACACAAAAAAACACTGCATTTAATCTTGTTAGTACTACATTAATATCACACTCTCAAAAACACAAATGAGAACTAAAGTTCTTACAGGTAAAGCTGGTTTACCTAAACTTAAAAAAGCCCTCTCAGGATTTTTGTATTACATACAGGTTATCAAACAAAAAAACAAAACATCTTTCAACGACCTGAGAAAACCTTAGTCTCGTAACACATCTTTTCTAGTGTTCTTGTATCCTCCATTCTCAAATGGGTATTTTTAGGCTTGAAACTTTGGTATCCTTATGGCTGCTACTAATTGCCATCAAATATTTATCAATTTTCCACTTAAAAACTGTTCCAGCTGCAAAGCAGGGAAAAGCTCTGGTATTATCATTAAAAAAACAAAAACAAGTCAACAAAATATCCCCTCATACCTCATAGTACATTTAACTCAACTGCAACCTGCAAAACAACAATAACAAGCTCCCCAGAATCTCATTTAGAGAGGAATTCATAAACAAAATGGCATAAGGCACTTCTGGGATAATGTTATAGTACTATCCAGAAGAAAATAGGTTCCACATTTTCAATTACTGCTGCTTGTGCTTTTACTTTTACTCATGTCTCTTCCCAAGGAGGCTACCATTTTCACAAACCTGGCATGAAAACAGGGCATTTCTGCTTTGCTAAGTACTTATCAGATTACACAAACACTCAGGTCTTCATATTTGTGAGGGAATCAAGGAACACCCAAAAGGTGTCCACCAACACCCAGGATCGGCTCTTTCAAAGCAAGCTTCATCAAGAAAAGCATCAAACATTTTCAAGACCAGTTAAGTACTACGACAGCCCAGCCAGGGTGGGGTTGTCCAAATTATTTTTGATGGACAACTCGCACCTAGAAAGGCAGCTTCAAGAAAACAGGAGCACATTACAAGAGGGCATCTGTTGAGAGAAATTCAGGTAAGAGTCAGGTAGGAATGTGCTGCCCAATTCCACATTTGCATGCCATTAAAGCACACCGTGTAACACGGAGCACGTCGTTCAACAGTCTGATGCACTATAACAAAGTATAAACGCAAGGAATCAAAAGAGTAAATAAAAGCAGTCTGATCATCCTGCTGCCTTTTCCTCCCTCTGTTTCACAACCTTCCCCTTGAAGCACTCCCTCCCCGGGAAGGTGATGACCAGAGCGGGTCTCCAGAGGCACCAGATGCCACCCGGAGTGCCATCGCTCCTCCACCACGGCCCCCACCGCTGCGCAGGGAGGCGAGGTGTGAGGTGTTCCCTCCTGCACCCGGCCCTGCTCCGGCTACACACCCACCCCGCTGCCCGCCGGGGGGGGGGGGCATCGGGTGTCTCTGTCACCTACAGCGTCCTACAGGTAACACAGCCCCGAGGGAACAAAATAGAAGTCTCCAGGTACTCCTGAGTACAGGAAACTCCGTAACTCCAGCTGAGAAAGGAGCTGCCCGCTGGCTCCCCCACTACTACCCCCTGCTCCCCTGCCGCTTAACCCCACAGTGGGATCCATACCTTCCTCCACCCGCCAAAGCCAAATGCAGCACCATACTCCTAACACAAGCACAGAAACAGAACCTGCCTCTTCCAGGAAAAAAAGCTGCATCCTCAGCTTAACTCCACCAAACTTACCTCTAAAACCCTACGTAGGGTCAGTAACCCCAAAAACACCTTAAGCCCATGTAAACCGGCATGGCTAAAAGCAGCAACCTGGCGTTCCCAGCACCCAGGGGGACCCATTCCTGCTCCCGCAGCGTGGCACGGGGAACCGAGCTGGGTTAAAGCCAAATAAACTAAACCTTCATGGCTCCAGCTAGGCCAGCTCTGGCACAGAAAAGCACATGAAGGAAGGGACAAGAGGGAGCTGCCACCTGCTGAAGGTAGGACTGCTGCTCCTGATGATCCACAGCTGGTAAGTAGGGGTTGAGAGAGATGCAACACCAAATAGCAATGCTGACCTTCAGTACAGAAAATAGAGGGGAGGATGACCCTCTGGAAATCCCTCTCTCTGAAAAGCTAGGTGACTCACTTCTACCCAGCATTAGCTGTCTAAACGACTCCATCCTGAATCACACAAATCCACAGTGTTATCTTTCAGAAGCGACCGTATCCTGTCAGGACTAGCTTTTATACTGCAGCCTTCTTTAACTACTCGCCACCAGAGCAACTTCGATCACTGCAAACCTCTGAACCACATCAACTGCCATTAGAAAGAAAACAGATCTCACCAAAATAGTTTTCCCTTCAAACGTGCAACTTCTACCCAAATTACTGTGGGTGGAGAAGCCATGTGCACCAAGTACTCCTGCTCCAATTACATGTTCAAACTCCAGTATCTTGCAGGTTCTGTAAACCTAAATGAGGAAAATACGTCCCATGGATAGACATCTCCCTCTTTAATGCTTTGAAGTATCTAACTCAAGTACCATTAAATCGTAAGATAATGAACATGAAACTCAGGCTTTTAAAGACTTAAACAAAATATACTAATTAGGTTTTCCTTCACTCCCAATGTAAAGGAGTTTAACTGTATATGAAGCTGAATGAATATCAACCACAAATGTGTAAAAAAAAAAAAAAACCCACCTTGTAATACGGTTGCTTCTCCTCTGTAAAACACTGGACATAAACAAAACATTCTTCCTAACACTTTGGTATGCAGCAGTAAAAAGTGACTTGAGCCCATGCAGGGTGAGCGTGCAACATAACCACGGCTCAGTCTCTTTCAGACCAAGTAAGAGGACAAATTTACATCACTCGGCGGGGGGGGGGGGGGGGGGGGGGAAGACATTTCTTCAACCCAAGATCCTCATTATATTTATCAGCACTGTTGTATCACCTTAAACGCGCTCAATGCTTTATACAAACAGAAAAGAAACTGGTCCCACGTTTCAAAGAGCCTGCACGTTGTACAGCTTACCGACACCACAACAAGGCGCACGCCAGACTCGCAGCATCGCAACTAAACCTTGACGCTAACAGGCGAGACTGACAGATTCAAATTTCTGCTTTCCTGGCTTTCATTCACTGGAGTAGTTTGGGCTCCATCCCCTGTGGGAAGATGGCACAGGATGCACCCAGACACAATTAAGGAGCAGTATTTATGACCTCTAAAAGCAATCCTGTCTCCCTTCACTGGAGGGGAAGCACCGGTGATAGGAGGTGAAGCAAAAGGCAAACACGTCTCCCCAGGAGAGCTCAAAGGAGAAACCCTCCAGGAAAATAAGATGCGGCTCTCTAATCTTGATCTCTTTATCATGGTGAAATTCAAAGACCAAATAATGTTATGCTTTAGTTTTGGGGTGTTATTTAGCATTATATAAACTCCAGACTACTCTCTCGCTTCAGCATTTCCAGCCAAGTTAGCTTCTAACATTCGTTTAGCTTTGCCAGTTAAATGAGAGCTGTTCCAGACCAATGTTGTTCAAGTCATATCTTTAAAGGTTATACACCAAATTTAACCAGAGACATAAAAGTGTTGGCATACCCACTTAGTTGTAGTTGCATGCTTACATCTCCCTGGGCGGGGTGGAGGAGAGACGGGATGCCTACTTGCCATTTCATGCAATTATAGCAAGCTGCAACGTAAAGGGAAATGGCACCATGTACCTGGTAAGGTAAATCAGCCATCCTCAAGTAAGTTTCCATTTTCAGGCAGAAGGGAGATAAACTTGGAACACCATTGGTAGGCCTTGAAAACTGATGCAGTATGATGGCATCTTTCGAATCAAGCTCTTGCTCTTTCCTGTCAAAAACGAAAGAGAATTCAAAAACAAAACAGAAAAAGAAAAAAAAAAAAAAAAAACAGGTGCATGATGCATCAGTACGCTAAGCACACAAAGGATCCCGGCTGAGGAACACACACATAGGGATGGCTGCGGGGTTTCGGTTCGCGGGATGTAGCACCCGTGAGAGGCGCCGGGGCCGCCGTGGTGGGCGGCAGGCGCGGCTCAGCCCCACGGGCCCTGCCCCACGGGCCCTGCCCCACGGGCCCTGCCCCACGGGCCCTGCCCCACGGCCGGGGGACGGCAGAGCGCGGGGGCCCCCGGGCCACCTGTGGAGGCGAGGGCAGGGCGCCACCTCCGCGGCTGCAGAGAGTAAATAAAGGGTGTTAAAAATAAATAAATATTTTTAAAAAATAATAATAATAATAATAAAAAAAGAGCAAAACCACGGTGAAGCAGAGCGGCCAACCCAGCAGGCCTCAACGCCCCCCCCCCTCAGGTGAGTGCTCGGGAGGCAGCGCCCGGCGCGGCGCAGGCCCCGCGGCTGCCCGCGGCCCCATTCCCGCCGCCCCCCCGCCCCATTCCCGTCCCCCCCCGCCCCATTCCCGTCCCCCCCCCGCCTCACCGTATGGCCAGCAGCTCGTGGAGCAGGTAAGCGGCGGCGGCCAGCAAGGCGCCGCCCGTCAGGTACAGCGTCTTCTTCCACCAGGAGTCGGAGCCCAGCGCCGCCATGGTGCCGCCCGCGCCCCCGCCCGCCAGCGGGAAGGCGACGATCTCGCCCCCATAGAAGGCGGGCGGCGGCTCCTCGGGCCCCGCGCACCACCCCAGCGACAGGCTGCGGTTGCGGCTCAGGTCCGCCACGCAGGAGCGGGGCGCCGCCAGGCCCACCCCCCACAGCATGCTGCGCCCGCCGACCGCATCCCCCGCCGCGCCGCGGAGACACACACACACACCCACCCCCCCCCCCGCCTGCCCCGACCGGCCCCGGCCCGGTCCCGGTCCCGGTCCCGGTCCCGGCCGCCGCGGCGGGGAGGGCCGCGCCGCGCTGCGCGGCTCACGGCGGCTCCCTCGGCCCTCGCTGCGCGGCTGCGCAAGGCGGCGGGGAGGGGATGGGGTGGGCCGGGCCTGCCCGGGCGGAGGCCCCCGCTGGGCCCGGGGAAGGAGGCGGGGGGGGGGTTGAGGGGGGGAGTTGCGCCGTCCGAATTTGAGGGCGGGAAGACGGGGTGCTGAGGGCGGGAAGACGGGGTGCTGAGCGCGCTGCGCGCCCGGGGGCTTTTCGCGCTGAAATGTCCGCGGTCCGCCGCTCCCAGCGTCGCCGCGCCGTTCCGTGGCTGGAGGAACGAGGGCCTCGTGTTTTAGCCCGCCTGTGGGACGAGAGGCGGCGGGGCATCGCGGCCACACGCCTCGCCGCGCACCTCGCACCCCGCCAGACAAACACACCTCGCACCCCGCGGCAGTTTTCTCCCTGCCGTTCCCGCTGGTGCCCGTGAGGTGACGGAGGGAAGCACCTTCACACGCCGAAAGGGAAGCCAAGTGACTTCAAAGCAAGCCCCTCGGCCCACGGGGCAGCGGGGTTTTGGCCCGGGTGGTCCCGCCGCGGCCTGCGCATCGCACTGACCCTAAAACACTAACAGTGCCCTTTGTTTTCTGATTAATACCACTGCCCGAAACGCTTCGTCCGTCACCAGCTGCTGCCGCGGGTACACAGCTGCTCCGGAAAGCTCCCACTAGTTAGGTATTTTATTACGCCATCACGGGTAATAGAAGTGACCCGATCCTTCACACAGACGGAGTGACTTTCAGTGTCTGGGGTGTGAGAGACAGCGTCTGTGACCAGGGCTTTGCAGACGCCTTACCTCAGGGTACGGGACAGATCAGACAAAGGAGGAAGATGAGGAAGAGGAGAGCCCTGAGCGAAGCCGTGGAGTTCAGACCCATGTACCAACTTCTCCAAGTGCCAGCAGCGGCCAGTTTTGCATTGAGTTTTGTTGTGCAATATCGGTGAGAACAATGGTCTCTGCCTCCTGCTTGCACTCGCCGCGGAGGCTGCTGTGCTCTGACACGTGCCTGCAGTAGCTCCTTGCAGCACTTTGTTTTATTCCTCACTTTTAACTCGTTGTTTATGGGTAGTCAATTAGCACAGGCTATGGCACAAGAGCCCCATGTTTGATATGTTGCCTATGTTTGATCCTGTGCTGACGCCCTGCTCTCAGGCATTAACAAGATCAGAGAGGTCCCAAGGACCTGGTAAATCTCGTTCCACAGACAGGTTGCTCCCTCTAAAATCTGGTGCGCTCCTCTGCCCTGCCCTCATCTTTAGCGAGGGGATGGCTGAGCACCTTCTTCACAGCTTTTGGGCCGCTCCACGCTACAGATGATGATCAGGTAATGAAATAAGAGTGGAAAATGAGAGCAGCGGCTGCTTCATGCCACAGCTGATCAATTGCAGCGTGAGGTTTTGTTAAATTCTTACGACAGGGCAATAAAGAAACAAGGAAAGTGCTGCTTCTCTGCTACAGCACCTACAAATCTCAGGCTGAAGATCTGTTTCAAGTGGCAGACAGCCTAATAAATCTGGACCATCACAGCCTGGTAGCTGGTCTCAGCTTTTGCTACTGCAAGGGAATTGCTTGCTGTGTTACCGATAAGAGGGATCCAGTTACAGATGGGATCTAAGCTTCTGTGAGGGCAGAGAAAGGTCCTGGGCATCCACATCCCAGCTGCTGCCACTGCTTGACTTTCAGAGACAAATGAGCTATCCTAAAACCTGTGTTTTGAATCAGTGGCCAGCACAAAGTGAGGGAGTGGAGAGAGGGAAGGAGGAAGTAAATCATTTGCCTCCCAGTGCTGCCCTGGACAAAGTAGGCAAACCTGGTGTTTTGAAGGAAGCATTACTGCGATTTATGCTCTGAAACTCAATGCTGTGTGCTGGTAGTCCAGCTTGTGCCTTTGCTGGCGTTCAGATGCTGTACAGATGCCAGGGAGGCTGAAAGGCAAACCAGTTACCTCAGGATTATTAGAGCAGTACTCCGTTCGGATGTTTAACGTTTGTTCAGCAAAGAGACTAACGCCCTTCTGTTGGAGAAGGACCTTTACGCTGTGTTACTGCTGTTCTGGGTGCAGTGTTGCCCGGGGGCTGCAAGGGTCCAGTGCACAGCAATGCCTCCCAGTACACAGCGTGGGAAGCCTCCGTAGCAGAGCCCAAATGTCTCATGGTACGTTGGATACAGATCCCCACAGACACACCAGCAGCCTTGCTGTCCTGCTCATAAACCAGATTTTAAGAGGTTGGTTACGACCTGCATGGCACTGACCGGACTTGGCCCTTTATAAGGTGCAGGTCCCAATGTCACATCTTGGTAGCCAGAGTTTAACGACAGTAAATAAAGAGCACGGATAAAACACAAGTTCTGTACCCTCGTACCTGTCCCACACACTTCGCCTCAAAGAAGCTCACAGGTGCTGCCCACCAGACTGACAGCCGCCTCGCTGTCTCAGAGAGTGGGAATCCAGCTCTGCGTCTTTGAGAAATTACCACTTTTCATTTTTTTGAGTGGGAAAATAAGAGCTAACAGTGATACACCCACGTACGTGCCTGTCTGACTGCAAACACAGGGCGAGTGTGGCACAGTCTGGAAGAGTCATCCCTCAAATACATCATGCAGAGCAAAACAGGATCTAAAACGTTCAAGTACACTTTTATCTGTAATCTGGTCTAGTACAATTGCCTAGAGGAAGAGAGAATAACAAAATAAATAGATTTTTCTAGTTAATATAAATCTAAGCCTGATTTTTCATAGAGCAAGCCGATTTCTTCTTCCAAAGCCTGCAGTTTGATTTGAGGGCAGGGAAGCACTAACAAACTCATTCTGTATGTTGGTATAAAGACCCTTGATCTTCATTACGTTAATCTTTTTTATTTTTTTCTGTAATGTCTTTGGGTTCATTGCACCTCTTAAAAAAAGCCTGCAGTTAGCACAGCGGGCTGCCCACAGAACTGGCAGCAGCTGTCAAAACCGCAGCCGAAACCCGGTGGTTGCGATGGGTTTTTTGTGGAGCCCCACTGCAGAAGCTCTCCCATCTGTATTTTGGCTGAGAACTAACTACGCTTTCTAAAAATCAGGGTTCAGGCTGAATGCCTTGCCCCAAGTTTTACTTCTCCTGTACTGCTGCCAACGGGGTTTGCACAGCAGAGCTTCGCTTGCCAAATCTCTCCTGGCGCTTCAAGAAACAGGGCCACCCATTTTCCGCTCATCTCCCACACTGGTGTCACTCACATCTCCTACTCGCTGCCTCTCTCTCTTCCAAGCGGCCGGAGTTTGGGCAGCACGGGGCTTTCAACAGCTCCGTTGATCGGTACAGGTTGTTTTTACAGGTTGCTCTGCCTGAAGCGAAAGCGCCGCGCCGTGCCCATGCGCGGTGACCGACTGTCCCCAGGCAAAGTGACACCCCTGCTCAGGTTGGGGTGCTCGCTTCGTGTGCTGGCAGGGCATCCTTCGGTGCTACAGAAATGCTTTCCTTCTCTTTGAAAAAGCCCAGACTTACTGAGCCCTTCTCTGCAGAAGACATCGTTTAAGAGGGTTTTGTGGTGAGGGCTGAGTTTCTGAGAGGGTGAAAAAAGGTTTTTTCATGGCCGTCAGGCTCTCCAAGATCCTTCTGAAGTAATTGCTGACTGCTGCCAGGAATGGTTTTGTTGTAATATTAATGATCTCTCTGGGCATCGTGAGTTTCATATACATGTCTTTTTAATTATTCAGATAAAAATAGCCAAGGTATAGCTTCAAAACAGTCATGCTGCGTTTCAGTTTGGATTCAGAAAAGGGTTTAATGGTAACTTTAATGGCATACAAAGGTACAAATACATAGGAAATGCAAAACATCCAGAATCTAAACTACTACTTCTGTGCTGTACAAAAGTACCTATATTTCAGTCCACATGAAGTGCAATTCCAGTCGTTCCCCAGAGTTTACCTTTCTGGTAAACAAAGCCACTTGCTGAGGTGATGCATACCCTGAGACTGCCCTGAAGGACGTAAATAACTCAGGGTTCCTTGCTTTCACAAAAAAAAATATATATATATAAATAAAAAATGGCTTTGCTTGAAACCTCCTGCTTTCTGAAGGTGGAAATACTCAGGCTGGCAGCTGAGTATAGGTGTCTGCTACTCAGCTGACAGACCTACAGTCTCACAATTGTTTAGTAGTTTTTAATTTTATTACGCTGTTTTACAAGCTTGGACAACTGACAACCCTCATAATGTCATGGGGGTGGCTACACACTTTTGTAGTCAGATCTTTCATATAAAATTTTCTCGGCAGCAGAATAGTGTTGGGAACCAGCTACAGATTGCCTGACACAGCCCGGTGCAGTGCCTCCCAGTCTTTGGCCTTTTGTAAGTGCTCTCCCATTTACAGCACCCTCCGATCAGAAGGAAGCTTTGCAGTACACACTGCCATGACCTGGCCGGCCTCTCAGTTCGTATTTGATTAATAATAGGGATGTATGAAGTTTTTGCAGATTTCCTTACACAGATTTCCTTTCCTTACCATATTTACTCATTTCAAAGGATCTGCATGGCCTCTGGATTTTTACCCCATTAAATAAGAAGTGGTGTTTTTTGTGGGAAAATTAGTTCCTTAATGCATCTGCCTTAGATTAGCTAGCAACTAGCCTAAGGTGCTAACGACAGAGTTAAAAGCGCTAGCTGCTGCTGACTCTGCAAAATGGAGCAATGTACCATTAATGAGCACAAACCCTGTCAATCCAGGGCAACAGGACCCCAAAACGTGACGGGGAGATTATGCCAGCGTGACACATTTTTTTCTGCAGATCAACTCCCAGCTGAAGGCAGTGGGAGGAGAATGAGAAGGGACGGAAAGAGGGGGGGGAGGAGAGCCTGTTCCAGAGGCCGTGTCCCTGAGGCCAAGGCTGTGCTTTCATCTCCGGGGAGCTCTGGAAGTGCAGAGGGATGGGAGAGACGGTGGCAGAGCCGTAGGCATGC